TAATTGGATAAAAGGGACTGTAGCATGAGAAGTCATGAAATGTTGGCTTCAGTTTTTCAAAGCTCATAAAGATAGAGGATTGATCATGTCAAGTTTCCTGCTGATTGCCTTTGGAGACAAGTTATTAGTCCTAAAGTATTTTCTCTGTTTTGGGCCTTCTCTTATTACTATAACATAGATAAGCTAAGATGGAAAAGTCATCAGACTTGCAAAAGCTAAGAGAATAGAAGCCAAAGCCTGTAGGAATATAAATTTATTATCTGTTATGCATTGATTTATCACATATGGTGGAAAGTTAAACCAGATGTATGCTTACTGAAAGAGGCTAGCCCAAGACAGACAAGGGAGAGGAATGTGACCTCAACTTGAAAGTAGAAAATCAGAACTTGGTGGTGGTTCAGAAGTTTCCTTTTATGCTAGTTATATAATAAAATAAAAGTTCTCCAACCATCTTTTCAAATTAACCGGGACTTCGTTTCTTAATCTGGAAGTTATTGAAACTTCCAGCTTTTGAAATACAATTATTGTTATTTGAGAAAGACCTAAGATTTTCTGAGTAACTTTTGCTTAATCTAAAGCAAAAATGTTTTTGGAAAATACTGTTCTGATAGGTAAATTAAAATTTACACATTCCTGTTTGTTTCATTCTTACCTGGAATTTAAATATCAAATTTTAATAGCTAGTATTCAGTAACACATCTTTGTCTGCCATCTGCTTTTTTTAACTGAAGTTTTTTTCTGTTTTTAAAAATATTTTTTTAATGTTTACTTATTTTGAAGGAGAGAGAGCACAAGCAAGGGAGGGGCAGAGAGAGAGAGAGACAGAGAATCTGAAGCGAGTTTCAGGCTCTGAGCTGTCAGCATACAGCCCCAAGCAGAGCTCAAACTCATGAAATGTAAGATTATGACCTGAGCCAAAGTCGGACACTTAACCAGCTGAGTCACCAGGCGCTGCTTAACTGAAGTTTTAAAAAATCTATTCTTGCATGTCACATTTAAGTCTTGAAAGTAATTGCATTTTAAGGATGTACATGGGCCAGGGGCGGGGGAAGGGCGGGGAAGACTTAGCCTGACATGAGTAATCTACCTATAGTTATGTAATCTTGGAGAAAATATTTATCATAATAAATGCTTTAGTTTGGGAACAGTCTTGGAACCAAAGAACACACAAAATGGAACAACCACTTTGCAGTTGTTCCTCTATTTTTTGAGGGGAAATTGTCCTGAAAATCATTAGTTGAGCAATGATGTGTTTCTCACCAGTACTTGTGATATAGTTTTCAGTTCATTTTCACAATACATTTATGTGATCAGATACTTTTAAAAAATCGCCAATTTAGACAGTTTCCATCACAGGAGAACAACTCAAGACATCTGATTATACTATACAGACATGCACGTGGGCACACGTAGATGTATACTGACTACCAAAGAGAGTTAATTTGCTCACAGCTAAAGCGATCATTGCCAGCCTAAGAAAAACATAGAAAAAAGGTCTTTTTCTCTATAAGGAGTTATCAGTAGGAAACTAAACACGTGCCTAAAAGAAACTACCTGAATGTCTCATTGTAGGTCTATAAACTGCCAAAACAATTGATTCTTTTGTTTAACTTCCCTCAAACAAGTATTAAGCAGTAATTGTGTTTTGGGAGAACATCAGAGGAAAAAAACTAAAAACATGTAAATGGTATGTTTTGCTTACCCAGCTTAAGGTAATTAATTATATGATAACATTCCTTTCTTATGGAGGTAAAATGTATACGCAATGAAATGCATAGATAACTATCTGTACAATGGGATATGAGTTTTTAAAAAAACTTTTAATGTTTATCTATTTTTGAGAGAAAGAGCGTGAGCAGGGGAGGGGCAGAGAGAGAGGGAGACACAGAATCTGAAGCAGGCTCCAGGCTCTGAGCTGTCAGCACAGAGCCCGACGTGGGGCTCCAACTCAACAAGCTGTGAGATCATGACCTGAGCCTAAGTCGGACCCTCCACTGACTGAGCCACACAGGCGCCCCTAGTTATGAGTTTTAACAAATGTATGTATTCAGGTAACTACCACCCCAATCAAGACACATGTCACTTCCATAACCTTTAGAAAATTCCTTCATGTCCTCCTTCAGTCAGTCTCCCTTCCCAGATAGATAGTTGTGTTCTGATTTCTATCATCATGGGTTATTATGCTCTTGAAATTACATAAATGGAATTATATATGTGTTCTATTGTGTCTGATTCTCTTACTCTGTGCAATGTTTTAGAGAGTCACCCATATTATTAGTACTTTATTCCATTTTATTACAAATATTCTTTTATATGCATACACACCACTTAAAAAAATCCATAATCCTGTTGATGGATATTTGTATTTGCTTCTAGTTTTTGGCTACTAAAAATAAATCTGCTATTAACATTCTTGGTCAAGTTTTGTGAATGTTGATTTTCATTCTCTCCGATAAATACCTTGGAGTAGAACTGCTGGGTCATTAGATGGGTATATAATTTTATAAGAAACTCCCAAACAGTTGTCCAAAGAGACTGTATCATTTTCAGGTCGCCTGGGTGGCTCAGTTGGTTAAGTGTCCGACTTTGGCTCAGGTCATCATCACACAGTTTGTGGGTTTGAGCCCTGCATCGGGCTCTGTGCTGACGGCTAGCTCAGAGCCTGGAGTCTGCTTCAGATTCTGTATCTCCCTTTCTGTCTGACCCTCCCCTGCTCACGCTGTCTCTCTCTCAGAAATAAATAAAAAAAACATTAGAAAAGAGAGAGAGACTATCATTTTCTACTCCATCAGCAGTGTGAGCATTCCACTTGTACAACATGCTCACCAACAATTGATATTGTCTTTTAGTTTTAGCCATTTTAGTGGGTGTGGAGTGGAATTTCAATGTGGTTTTAATTCATATTCCCCTGAAGTCTAAAGATGTTGAATGTCTTTTCATGTGTTTTTTTGGCTACTTACCAAGCTACTTTTGTGAAATGTCTGCTTTTTGCCTATTTAAAATTTTTTTATCTTTTTATTTTTGATTTGTAGGAGTCCTTTATATATTACTATATAAGTTCTTTATCAAATATATAAAGAATATTTTCTCTCTGTTTATGGCTTACATTTTTTAATATATTTTATCTTTTTAGACACATTTTAGGTTAACAGCAAAATTGAGTAGATAGAATAGAGAATTCCCATCTACCTCCTGCCCCTATGTATGCATAGCCTTCCCCACTGTCAACACCCTGCACCAGAGTGGTACATTTGCTATAATCAGCAAACACGTCATTATCAACTGACATGTCATTATCACCCAAAGTCCATAGTTCACATTAGGTTTCATTCTTGGTGTTATACAGTGGGTTTGGACAAATGTATAATGATAAGTATCTGCCATTATAGTATCATACAGAGTACTTTCAATAGCCTAAATTCTTCTATGTTTTGCCTGTTCATCTCTTTCTCCCCTATCTTCTGACAACCACTGATCTTTTTTTTTTTTTTTTTAGTTTATTTATTTTGAGAGAGAGAGACAGAGAGAGAATCCCAAGCAAGCTCCACACCATCAGCATGGAGCCTGCGGTTCAAACTCACAAACCATGAGATCTTGACCTGATACAGTGCTCAAATCCACGAACTGTAAGATCAGGACCCAAGCCAAAGTCAAGAGTCATATGCTTAACCGACTGAGCAACCCAGGCACTCCAACCACTGATGTTTCTATTGTCTCTGTAGTTTTGCTTTTTCCAGAATGTCATATAGCTGGAATCATATGTAGCCTTTTCAGATTAGCTTCTTTTACTCAGTAATATGCACTTAATGTTCCTCCATGTCTTTTCATGGCTTGATAGTTGATTTCTTTTTAGTGTTGAATAATATTCCATTGTCTGGATATACGGTGGTTTATTTATCCATTAATCTACTGAAGGTTATCTTGGTTGTGTCCAAATTTTGGCAATTGTGATAAAACGGCTATAAAAAACTGTGTGCAGGTTTTTGTGTGGACATAACTTTTCAACTCATTTGAGTAAATACCAAAGAGCTGCAATTCCCAGACCATGTGGTCAGAGAATGATACGTTTTGTAAGAAACTGACAAACTGTCATCCAAAGTGGCTGTACCATTTTCCATACCCATTAGCAATGAATGAGAATTCCTGTTGTTTCATACCCTTGCCAACATTTGATGTTGTTAATATTTTGGATTTTGGCCATCTAATAAGTGTGTAGTAAGAGCTCATTGTTATTTTAATTTGTAATGGTATAATGACATAGATCAATCAACTTTTCATATGCTTATTTGCTATCTGTGTATCTTCTGGGATGAAAGTTCTACTCATGTTTTGATCGTTATTTATTTATTTATTTTACAAATAGTTTATTGTCAAGTTGGTTTCCATATAACACCCAGTGCTCATCCCCACAAGTGCCCTCCTCCATGCCCATCCCTCCTTCCCCCCACACACCCATGAGTCCTCAGTTTGTTCTCAGCACTCAAGAGTCTCTCATGGTTTGCCTCTCTCCCTTACCCCCACCATTTCCCCCCTTCTCCCCCATGGTCCTCCATTAAGTTCCTCCTAATCCTCCTATACGTGCAGACATATGATATTTGTCCTCCTCTGCCTGACTTATTTCGCTCAGCATAACACCCTCAAGGTCCATCCATGTTGCTACACATGGCCACATTTCATTCTTTCTCATTGCCGTGTAGTATTCCATTGTATAGATAAACCACATCTTCTTGATCCATTCGTCCGTTGATGGACACTTAGGCTCTTTCCATGTTTTGGCTATTGTTGAGAGTGCTGCTGTGAACATTGGGGTACATGTGCTCCTATGCATCAGCATTTCTATATCCCTTGGGTGTTTTGATCGTTATTTAATTAGATTGCTCTAATGTAAGAATTTGATATATATTGTAAATAGATTTATACAATCAAACTAATAAACATATCCAGTACCTCACAAATCCAGTAAAGTTTTTGTGTGTGGTGAGAATACTTGAGGTCAACTCTTAAATATGGGCTGTTTCATGAATTTATATGTCACCCTTGCACAAAGGCCATGCCAATCTTCTCTGTATCGTTCAATTTTTGTATATGTGTGTGTGCTGCCAAAGTTAGTACTTGAGGTTTATTTTTTCCATATATTTTTACAGTTGTTCTAACACCAGTTGTTTAAAAATATTCCCTATCTTTGGGCGCCTGGGTGGCTCAGTTGGTTAAGTGTCCAAGTCTTGATCTCGGCCCAGGTTATGACCTCACGGTTCGTGAGTTCACACCTGCATCAGAGCCTGCTTAGTATTGTCTCTCTCTCTCTCTGCCCCTCCCCTGCTTACTATCTCTCTCTCAAATCAAATCAAAAATAAACTTAAAAAAAAATTCCCTATCTCACTGAATTGACTTGGCATCTTGCTAACATTCAGTTGACTGTATATATATGGATCTATTTTTGATTTCACTATTCTCTCTAAACATACACACACACACACATTATTACTATATTGCCTAATCCAGGCTGGATTCATTTTTATGTTTTTATTATAATTTATATACATTATATTTATTATATCCATTTTTAAAAAGCCACTTTAAGAAATTAAAATTAAAACATCTTCATAAAATATTGTGGGCCTTCGGCACTATGCCTAAACATAACTGGACCTTGTATGGGTAAAGCTAGGTTCTGCACCTGTTGCCATGTCAGAAACTAGGTGCAGAGACCAGTGAAACTCTCCTTAAGAGCATAGACTGAACTTGTAGACCTTGAGAGCAGCAAATATCTAGGAGCCTGTGGTAGTTTACTTTCAATGTTGTGTTTTCACTGTATTTTCCCTATGACTAAAGTCATGTTAAATACTATGATACTGACTTAGTTGATCTATGGGGAGTTAAGGAAAATATCCTTTTCAGTCAGGGTTCTTAGTTATAAGCAACAAAAGCCACCTCTGGTTGAATAGAAAAGGAGTTTTATTAAAGCCTACGAGGTAGTTTCCAAAATGTTTGGGATATTTGGAACATTAGGCTCAAGGCTAAGCCTTAGGAAGAATGTCCAAAACCATGTTCCATGAACCGGTCTAATGAGGAAAATGTTGCCACCACCAGACACTAGAGGTTACAGTTTGCCCCACAGCAGTTCTGGGCTAGGAAAGTACTTGCAGTGTTATCAATACAGTCATTAGCATCAATCTAGTATTTTTGCCAAGGATTCAATTTTGCAGCCCTTAGTACTGCAGTACCTTAGTGCAGAGTGAGAGACTGAATGTTTCATTAATACTTATATAAATAATAACACTTTGCCATGTAAAAGACCACCCAAAATATCTGAAAAACAGAAAGTCAAGAAAATAAGGAATTCTCGTTTTCTCAAGACCGTCTCACAGAAACAAAAATACCACATAGTGTATTTCCTCAATGAGCTCACAGTTCTCTGAAGGAGATAAACACATGCACAGCTATTAGTAAAACCATTTTCCTGTGTAATATAAGTGAAATGACAGGAGAGCAGAGAGAGGACAACTTCAAATAAGGAGCATTTGAGCCTTAGATCTTGAAGAATAAGCAGGATTTTGGCAGGCTGGGAATGAAACATTCTAGATAGAGGGAACCAAATGGGCAGATGAGCAGAGTTAAATTGCAGAGTGTATTTGAGGTTTTAAATTTTACAACTTTGCACATTAAATACTGATTTTAATGCATGTAATTGTATTTCTTTACAAACCAGTCTTCTCTGAACAATGATAATTATCAACTGACAGAGCTGTGAACAGGGTAAAGGTAAAGGTATGGTTTGATTTTAGGAATCAAGAGATGAGCTAAAGTTGTTTGAAGGGGCGGAAGGCAGAAATCAAGGCTAAAGAGAATATAGGTGGTGAGGAAATTGAAGAAGCAGCATTTAAATGACAATGGTGATTTTAATTTAGAAAATACTTCTGCATATCTGAAAGAGACAGAATGAAAAGAGATTGTAGATGATGGAAAGAAGGGTAAATGAGGTGAGGAGGGTAGGGGCGGGTCCTCCTGGGGGAGGGTATAGGAAAGCAGAAGACTTCGGAAAGAGGAACACTTATTTACCTAAAATGTGAAGGAAAAAAATATAAAGATGTTTTAGAAATGTAAAGGAAGAAAGGCCACAGAGATCATTTACCAATCAATAACTTTGATTTCTATAGAGCGAGAGGTTGAAGGTTAGGTCATCTTTGGATAATGAGGAGTTTGTAGAAAGTAAGCTTTTGCATGGCCTGTTCACTCTGCCCTGAATGCTTTTCCTCATCACGTGGGTTCTCCCTCAGCCTCTTCAAGTCACCTTATCAGTGAGCCCAACCCTCACACTGTATCTAAAATCTTCATCTGCTCCCTAAGTCCTGAACTCCCCTTTTCTCTCCTTTTTTGTGTTTTCCATAGCTCCTAACACTTTAAACATACTATGTGATTTACTTGGTGTATTCGTTTTCTGTTATCCGTCACCTCCCACTAGAATATAAGGCCACAGAACAGAGATTTTTGTCTCTTTCGTTTATTTAGAATGATGCCTGATGTTGAATAAATATTTGTTGAATGAACACATACAAAAGTTGATGAATTGAGGGATAGAAAAAGGAAGACACAGTTTTTGGAAGAGTTATAGTTGAAAACAGGACTGATATTCAGTTGGCTTAAACCACATTATTGTACTACTTTTTCAAAATATGGTCATACTTTTGTATCAGTTGGGAAACATCTGCCCAGGCAACGTGGCTTCTTTCCCAGGACCCTCAGTCAGCAATTAAAGGGTAAATCCAGGGTGTAGCTAGGAGCCTCTCTCAGACCTTGCTGTTGCAGTTCAAGGACAGTGCCACTGCTACACTAGTTAAAATTTTTGAATATTCAGACAGTGTTAAGGAATCAGTGAAGAGATGAACTACATGATTCCTGGGCAGGCCTACTGAGGTGAAATGCGTGAATTTAGAGAAAGCCATGTCAACAAAATTCCATGACTTCCTCCAGCAACAACTATCAGGCTGGAGACCACACAGAAAGTGACAATAAAGATGATCCAGAAAGGTCAGATGTGATCATGAAAGAGAACAGGCTAGAGATTTAAGGTACTAGGAGGGCATTTCTTTGGGATGGTTGACAGTGGAATCCAGGTTAAGGGTAAAATGATATTAGAAGACTAATGGGCACGAGGATGTGGGAGGACTCCAGTGATGAGAGAACCCAGAATGGTGGGTCACCCTCCTACCCAAGTCATTTGAACTTTGAGGCTAAAAGAGCAGAGAGACAGGGTCAACTTCAATAATATCTTTCTACTGTAATACAGAATGAGGACCTTGCCATTTCAATATTAAATTGAGACAGTACCTCTTTATTTATCATGGATAGTCTTGACCTATATCTTATATAGGATAGTCATGTATGACATGGTACCTGCCCTCAAGATGCTTGTCACTAAAACCAATGTAAAAACAGTGGGTAGTAGACACCATCTAGTAATCATTCACTGTTCTCTTGGACTCCCATCACTAAGATGTACTATGGTTTTAGCTTTGCCGGAGAATATTGCATGCCAGTCAAAGTGTTACCTTGAGATTGCATTGTAAAGTATTCACATCCCTTTCAAGCTTAATGCATGATATCATTCTTGTGATTAGAACCTATAAAAGCTCCTGACACCACTCCCATTCCAAATTTCCTCTTTGTTTTTAAATTTTTATTTATATTTTTATTTGAGAGAGAGAGAGAGACGGTGCAAGCACGTGAGAGGGGCAGAAGGAGAAAGAGAGAATCCCATGCAAGCTTCATGTTCAGCACACAGCTTGCCGTGGGGCTCAATCCCACAACCGAGGGATCATGACCCAAACCAAAATCAAGAGTTCGATGTTCAACCAACTGAGCCACCTAGGCGCCCCCTGAATTTCCTCTTTAGAAAGAGAAGCTCTGATCATACTTGTCCTCTTGCCAAGTAACTATTTTTTTTTTCCATTTCTTTTTTTTAATTTTTTCTTTTTTTATATTTTTTTATTATTTTTTTTTACAAATAGTTTATTGTCAAATTAGTTTCCACATAACACCCAATGCTCATCCCCACAAGTGCCCTCCTCCATGCCCATCCCCCTCCCCCCACATCCATCAGTTCTCAGTTTTTGTCAGCATTCAAGAGTCTCTTATGGTTTGCCTCTCTCCCTTTCCCCCACCATTTCCCCCCTTCTTCTCCCCCTCGTTCCTCAGTTTAGTTCCTCCTAATCCTCCTATACGTGCAAACATATGATATATATCCTTCTCTGCCTGACTTATTTCGCTCAGCATAACACCCTCAAAGGTCCATCCATGTTGCTACACATGGCCAGATTTCATTCTTTCTCATTGCCGTGTAGTATTCCATGGTATAGATAAACCACATCTTCTTGATCCATTCGTCCGTTGATGGACACTTAGGCTCTTTCCATGTTTTGGCTATTGTTGAGAGTGCTGCTATGAACACTGGGGTACATGTGCTCCTATGCATCAGCATTTCTGTATCCCTTGGGTAAATTCCTAGCAGTGCTATTGCTGGGTCATAGGGGAGTTCTATTGTTAGCCAAGTAACTATTTCTATGTCTTTCTTTTTACTTTTCTAGAGGTTTTGACTTGTTTGTTTGAATGTTCTTAGCAATCTGTAAAATTCCTGCTTTGAGTTCCACTTTTAAATTCCACACAGATTACTGTGTGATTTTAATTTAATTTGTACCTACTTTTCAGTCTAGACACATGTTTGCCTTGCAATAACAGGTGATATCATCGCTATATAGGAATATGCGCTTAAAGCCAACTATGGGTGAACATACAATATTTTTGTGAGAAGCTATTGTAGTGAGATTGCTGCTTGTACTTGAGAGGTGAGGGTAAGAGGGGGATGATATGTTTCTTCCTTGGGTTATTATAATTAGGGATATTTGTAAGAAAATAGAATTACTGTTGCTTAAGTGTTGCTCAGCTCCTGCTGATCAGTTCTCACTCACTGGCACCATCCTTTGTGATATAATAGTTAATTGCTGTGGAGATGATGATCATGTCATGGAGAAAAGAGATAGGAATTTAAATAAAGAATGAGCAGCAGCAGGAGCAAAAAAACCATGCCAGAAGCCAAGTATTTCATCC